GAATAATGTGAGTCTCAATTTGAGGGTTACTTGAATTATTTTATCAGCATCACAGACAACAGTAGTGTTTTAGCATCTTATCACATAATCGAGTTATTCTGTGCTGCAAGTATATTCTTGCAAAAATAAAGACTCATTACCTTCTTTTGAAATAAATCATGATCTTTGATGATACAACTTTCTAACATATGTCAGGTTTAGGTGTTCAACATTGCTGTCTTTCGACAGAAAATATGGTCAATAATAGCATTGTTAATCTTGATTTGACGGTGACTACTTAGCGATGAACGCAAGAATTTTGTTTATTAGTCCTGTAAAAATCATTGTCCAAACTGACGATATTCTCTGTACTTCTTGTTTTTCATTCTATAAGACGAAGATAGAGCAGAAAGCAAAATTTTTTTATTACTTTTTTTGCCTTTGTCATAGACATTTTCATAGATAGAAGCAGAAGAAAAAAAAAAGTCACCGATGCACGTGCTCTTTTATCAGTTAAGCAGTGAGCAAGAAAGAAAAGTCAGCACAAAGCGTAAAGTATTCATTTTCTTTAGTCGAAGGTAAAAATTGTGAGTATTCGACATCAATATTGGTTTCAAAAGAAAAAAACAAGATCTAACATTTTTCGTCTTTCTTGATCGCTTCACGTAGGAGATTTTTTGATACGAAGGGTGGATGATAGTGAAGAAATGATTCTCTTCTTCATCTTCACACTCACACTCAAGTAATGAAAGACAATATTTTGTCATTGAATTGAGTCTTTCTTCAAGATGAGTCGATGTTTCATTTTTTATTTAAATTTCACCAGAACTGTCAACAATATAAATATATTGATCTATTGTTCTTGTGTTTTCTACTAGGTTTTATTTCTCCAAACATGAGTGCTGACAATAAAACCGGTGATTCAGATTTCAACAGCCCGGTTAAATCGGATCTTGCATGCAACATGTCAAATGATCCCCGACTACCGAAGGAAAGTACAATCGAGCCACTAATCGTTATGCAACCAGGACCGTATCCAAACTATCCACATATGGCTAGTAATTTACCATTAGAACCAAATTCATTCACTCAACCATCAAATTACTGTAAAATCTTCCATGGAATACAGGCTTCTAAAGATAAATAGTCTTTTTTTATCTTTCAGCTCATCCGACGGGAACAGCATTCCATATGAATAATCCATTATCACCCTCATTCTCCTTTAGAATATCCAACAATCCTCAATCAACATCAGTGAGAATTATTTTCCTTTTTGTATCCTCAGAAGCTTGTTTTGTTTCTTTAGAATGATCAACAACAGCCCATGCCATATCACTCAACACAACACTATGGTATTTGATCATAAATATTATCAAATCATCTATATTCATACTGAGAATTTATTTAGCAAAACGTGAAAAAAAACCGCTACTTATTGTGGATCCAGTGTCACACCAACCTGTGGATTTACCGACCAACACTTCAACTAATACTACATCCTCAGATATTGATGATCATTGTCCGAGTGATTCCAATATAGATTCAACAACTACCAATACTAAATCGATTACACAGAGAGATACAATCCAGAAACAAGCCGATTTTCGAAAAGAGTTCGCTCGATTTTTAGACAGATTGGATGCTCAACCTTATACGGTACAATACAGAACATTGATATTTGAGACAAAATTCTTATACTTTCAACCTCATTCTATTACTAATTCTCACCTCCTCATTTCTTCAGTGGATCACATAAATTTCTAACCTATACGATTGTATCCGTTTCTGTCTCTTACTTATGCACTGATTCGAGTGACAGTAATTCCTATGTGAATAATTTACATAGTAGTTGCAGCTATGTAAGATCTTGACTCAGCAATGAGAATGATAATGAAATTAGTAAATAATGACACTGATATTTGTTTCATTTAGCTTAATGATGCAACTAACAGTTCAACAAATCGACCTCGATCGACGACATATCCATCGTCTATGGAATTTTCAAAGTTCGAAATAGTGACATCGTTAAATCCATCTAAGTCAAGCGTGAAATCTATGGAAAAAATATCGTTCATATCAAAACGAGCTTCATATACTAGAGAAGAATTACTAGAAAAACGGCGCAATCCAATATCACAAATAAGACCAAAGAATTTGAAATTCATTGAAGGTGTAACTAATATGTCTAACAATCGTCCAATACCTGTGAATCCAAATCATCCAACATCAAATGATGGCGATTCATGCTTACGTAACAGAAGTAGTAGTTTACGGGAAGAATCTGCCTTTCATAAGCGAAACGACAAACCGAATAGAAGAACTAAAACAAATTCAATCACTATCAATAATCAGCAACAGCATGCAGAATCACGTGGTACGAATCAACAATCAGATCGACATGAATACGAACAAGGTGAACCTCGTTTTAATGTCAGCTCCGTCCGACAATTACAATCGAATGATAAACGAAACCAAGGATCTTTGGTAAGAATGTCATTTATGAAGATCATCATGTGAACATGATCTGTTTTTTTGGGATTGGTCTAGGCAATGAATTTAGCACCACAACAAACACGGACAAAAGGATCCACTATTCAAAAGAAACCCAAAGAAGATCATTCATTGACTACATAGTAAGATGATTATTGGCACATAGAATAGATTGAAGATGGTTAATCTATTTTTAGCAGTGATCAACCATCTGTAGGTCCCGTTCAGCAATTGAAAGGTAAATCCGATTCATCACAAAGAGGTTCTGGCTATCCTCCTCGACGTCAATCATTTCGAGTAGGAGTACCTTCATTTTTTGTTCCGCACCTCTTCTCTCGATTTTCTTTTAGGAATTAGCACGTGAAAGTAGTCAACGTGATCGTGAAAATGTCTTGGAATCATTACGTAAAATGAGAACTGGTAATGGTATCAATAATCCAATCCATGGAGCTGGTAGTTCATCAATGATGAATTCTTGTGAAGGTTCAAGAAATGTCAGTCATGAACAATCTCAAAATATAGCACATGAATCAGGCGTTAGCGAACAAATATCGAATACAAGTCTAAATGCATGTATTAGTAAAACATCAGCCTTAGATTCATCAACGATCACCAATTCTAATCCATCAAAAACATCATTTGATGAAGAAACAACACGAACACGTGTTCACTCATTGATTGAAGAATATACCGAACAGTATTTCAATTCATCGGATCGATCTGTCAAAGTAAAGTTTTTCTTCGAAGAGGAAGAAAAGATCTCGATTTTGATGTTATAGGAAGCACTAAAAGATTTAGCTGATTTCTGTACATCGAATATTGAACAACAAGCAATGATCGTTCGAGAATTATTTATCAATGTTCTCAAAGCGAAACCACATGCACGTAAAGCTGTTGGACATTTACTCGATGCCGCTTTGAATGAAGAAATTCTTTCGACAGACGCATTTCTTTCCGGGTATGATCGCTTTCATTGGCTAATCAGTGTATCGAGTTATTTTCATTAGTTTTAAGATGGTTGTTGAATATGTACCTGATTATGCTGTGGACATTTCTCTCATTTGGCAATATATTGGTGAAATTCTTGGTGCTTTCATTGGTGCTCCTAGTTCAAATGTGTCTTTACTCAAATCTATTCTCCAACATGTTCCCAATGATAAAGCGAAACAATTCTTTCAATATATCATTCGATATGCCACAGAATTTTCGGTAAGCATTCACTTCTTATTGATTGAGAAAGATTGATCGTTTGTTTTTTTAGTCACAAGCACATCTGCAGAAATTGTGGCGATCATCCGGTTGTTCACTTCATGATATTCTCATGCCTGAACTGATTGATTCATCATTGGAACATGACTATGAATGGTTAAATGAAGCATCTGATGCCGATATGATGACGCAATCGAAAGAAAATCTTTTTCCATGTGCTGATCTCCAATTAGTCAAACTATTCAATGATCAAGATACACCTATTACCGATCCAGATATCATCAATTATATTCATGAAGTAATCATTCGAATGATGATTTTTTTTTTTTAAATATTTTCCATTTTTTGATTAGCATATGGATCCGAATGAGAAATTTTATATTCGTAATATTGTTTTATCGTATCTGGAAGCTTGTTTAATTAATAGTGATCCACAGAAAAAGATTCAAGAAGATATTGCCAAAAAACGCATGACAGTTCTTAATGCGATTATTCAACATAAACCGGAAGCAGAAATTCAAGCTGTTTATGCTATTCAAAATTTTGTCAGTAAACTAGAACATCCACCGAGTAAGTGAAAGCAAATTCTTACGAGTAATAATCAACGACGAATCGATATTTTATTGGTAGAAATGGCTCTATTATTGTTTGATATCTTCTATAATGAAGAATGTGTCGGTAAAGATGCCTTCTTTGAATGGCTAAGACATCCTGATCAATCCGAGACCGAAGGTAAATGATGGTCATGCGAGAAACAATATCAAACCTCTGTTCATTCTAGGACATGCCGTAGTAGAAATGTTAACGAAAGATTTCTTTGCGAGGTTCCAACAGGGCGAAAATGAAGTGGCAGATGGCGAAGATGAGAGAAATTAAATGAATATCATCGATGGATGGCTAATTTATTATTATTATACTTTCTTTTTTTTGTCATTCGACAATACATGTGTGTGTATGGTTTTCCTCAGTCTCTTTATTTATTTTCTATAACATAACCAACCTTCATGATTATCTCTCTATCCATAACGGGTGTGGGTGTGTGGGTGTGAGTATGAAGATAAGAGCAGCACCCACACCCACTCACACCCACATCCACATCCACACCCACATCCACATCCACACCCATATATACAAAGCTTCTCTAAAAGGAAAAATTTCAGAGAAATCATTTTCAACATTCTAAATAGATTCATAAAAACTCAAATGCTCGTTGTTAGTTTATGTGATTTAATTCATATTCATAGAGCCTACATTGTGCTATTGTATCCAATGTATCAATGCCATAATTATGCGACTTTCATGTACGAAGGTACTATACAAATGAGTGTTTCCTTTCTCCATAAAGGGTGTGGGTGTGAGCTAAGTCAATAACTATACGGGTATCCATACCCACACCCACACCCACACCCTTAAGCTCCATTCTTGATTGATTTTGGGTGTGGGTGTGGGTGTGAATGTGGGTGTGAATGTGGGTGGTGTGGGCGTGGGTGTGGCTGGGTGTGGGTGTGGGTGTGGGTGTGGGTGGGTGGGTGTGGGTGTGGGTGGGTGGGTGTGGGTGTGGGTGTAGATATAGAGTCAGCAAATACCCACACCCACACCCACACCCACACCCACACGCACACCCATACCCACACCCACACCCACATCCACATCCACACCCACACCCACACCCACATCCACATCCACACCCACACCCACACTCACACTCACACACCCACACCCACACCCCACACCGACACCCACACCCACACACCCACACCCCACACCGACACTCACACCCACACCCTGTGTAGGGGTGTGATATGTTAATATTTGCATAACTATGTACACATCCACACCCTGCGTACAAATATTATTGATTGTTTTCTTTTAGAGAAAAGGCACACTTTTTATGGAAGCTTTAAAAAGCAATCTATCAACATTTGTCTATGAAAGATCAAATATTTTCTTGAGAAGGACAGAAATAATTATGTCAAATAAATTGATAGTGTTCTCAAAAAAATTATTAGCAATTATATACATCGACACTTTTTTGCAATAGAACAAGACGAAAAGAAGTATAGAGGAAAGTAAAGATAAAATTCCCAATTTTTAAAATCGGAAAAAATGCTGATAAATATACCATGCTTGATTTATTTTGACTGATTATACCAATGAATTCTATTGATATGATGAAAGTTTTTCTATCATTTATGAAATATCGAATATGCTCAGCATTAATTGCAACAAAAATTCTAAAAGAATTCTATTCGGTAGTATCTTATGGCGAATTAAAAACCGACTATGAAGCAGCTGTAAAGTATTTTGAAACATATGCAATCGATTGTCTACATAAATGTGATGATGAGACACATGTGAAATTATCTTATAACAAGATGAACTTAATGGATATGTTACTTGTCTTCAAGTATGTTTGATAATTTCTTTGAATTCCTAAAGAAACCAAAAATTAATATCTACAGGGTGGTAAATAATATTATTCCAGGGGGGTAACACTATGATCTCGAATCGGAGATATCATGAATTTTATACCAAATGAAAGCTCGTGAAAAATGGGGTTTAGTGATAGTAAATAGTAAGACTTTGAAGAACTTTCTTGTATTAATTTATCAAACGTTACGATTTTTATCGACATAAAATATTATAAAATCAGTTCATCGAAAAAGTTCGGGGCTAAACTATATGTTGTACAACTGTTTATTTTCTTATTATTTATTGAGTACAATCAATAATCAGTATGACGACCATTAGCACTCTTTACTGCACGAAGTCGAGATGGATACGAACATAAAAGAGCTTCAAACAATTCGGTATTTTCTTCCATGTCCGTCAAAACATCCGCAATGTGCTTTTTAAGTGTGTCTTCACTATATCGATTATGTCCAGTTTCCGATAACATTTTTTGTTCAACTTCATCTTTCATTATTGATCCAATATGTTCCGCCGCATTGAGATCGGGCGAATTACCAGGCCAAATATCATTGCCCCAAAACTCGATTTTGTTATCTCTAATCAGATGTTGAGTCATGTTTGCTCGCATACACGGTGCTTTATCGTGAACAAATATCACATTATCCAGATCAATTACGTTTTCCTCGTCGGTGAGGAATGGAAATACGTGTTGCATTAAAATAATGTCACGAAAATATTGACCGGTCCAAGATTCACCTTTGTCTTTAATCACCCAATGCATTTTTTTCGCGGTGAAAATGATAAAAATACCGATACACGCTTGGTTTTTAACCATTTCGCGATACCTTTCATCGTCTTCAATATCTTCAACACTTTTTGCCCAAATCCTATCATTTTGATAATTTGGTTTGCGAACTGTCCAAACATAAAATTCATCTGATGGTGCCAGATGAAGAAAATCTTCTTCAGTCCAATCTTTCAACCAATCACAGAGCCATAATCGATCTGATATATGAGTTTCAGATTTTAACGGTCTTGAAATAACATGAAAAGGCTTTAATCCTTCCCTACGACGGTAGTTATTAACTGTTTGTCGAGTAACATATTCTTTTTGTTTCTTTGCAATCTCTTTCGCCACGACAGAACCGCTTTTCCGTTGGTGACCACTTGCTTCACGAATAATGTCCTGAGCAGCTCTCGATAACTTGAGTTTAGGACCAGCATTCGAATAATCAGCAAAACATTGGTCACACGATTTTTCCCACCATTCTGTAACAAATCGAGTCGTACGGTGAATTTTGTCGGCAATCCATTGTCTATTTATAAATGTTGCACCAGCATCACGAGCTTCTCGGAAAGTAATGCATTTAATTCTATCAATCATTCTTTGTTGTTCGGTATCATAAGCGCCAGCCATTTGAAATAACAAACGAAAAAACACTGAGATTTCACTCGACTATAACTTTCAGACAGTCCGAGAACGAAAAAATTTTTCAAATAACTAGTATCACGTGGAGAGAAGAACAGAACGCCAAAGAACCATCTTATTGTGTGAGTCATAGTCATATATCATCATCGTTATCATTTCTCTTTCGTTTTCATAAAAAATGTTCGTTTTCAATGTCTCAAAATGTATGAAAAATGATTTTTAACGTGTTTTTGAAAGAAAATTTCGTTGTTTTTAAAAATTTGGTACACGAAAGTTCTTCAAAGTCTTACTATTTACTATCACTAAACCCCATTTTTCACGGGCTTTCATTTGGTATAAAATTCATGATATCTCCGATTCGAGATCATACTGTTACCCCCCTGGAATAATATTATTTACCACCCTGTATTATAAAGGTTGCTTCAGATGCAAATGATAAATTATTTATTTCAAGCTCATCAAGCTATAAATAATATTTGGCTTGACAAACTTTACTCGAAAAATAATACGATATATCGATTGAAATGGTTTCTTGGTATCAATTCGTTGAGTTTTTTAACATCAGTCAGTGTTGTAAATCGAGAAAATAAAATGGTTAGAAGTAATTTTTGTTAAAAGAAAACAAAAACTTTTTTCAATAAGGTCTTTACTAATGTATCAAAAACCAAAGAAAATAATATTTTCACATGCATGTCATAATATGATTTCTATTCAGAAGTTTTGTATATAAAAAAAGTTAATCGATTTGAGAAAATTTTAATCAAAAAATGAGTAATAAATCTAAAACCTCTAGGATTAATTTCTTGATTGCGTTTGATTATAATTATCTTTTAAAGTAAATCAATATCAGATAAAAAAAATGATTTAAAATTGATTATTGTTAACAATTTTCATTTAGGTTCCATGATTATGCTATTAACTATGGTGATCCAAGTTTACTTAAACAAAATATAATTCATTAAAGATAATTAATGTTTCCTTTTGTTGAAATTTTCACCACCAAATTGAACTGAAATATTGACAATTATTCTTGTTTCATCAATGTTAATCGAAGAAATTTATTACGTGCGTATTATCAATTAAAATAAGACTTTTTTTTATTATTGATTTTTGTTTCTTTGATTGCATTTCGTTACCATTATTTCTTTTTACGTTAGATTCATTGTACGATTTGTAGATGCAATAAATTTATGGCAGCTAGATTTGTCTATGAAAATTTCGTATTCTAAGAAAAATTTTACAGTGACAATAGGGGTGTGGGTGTGGGTGTTCTCTTCGACACATCCACACCCCACACTATGAAAAGTGTCGTGAAAAGTATTTGTTTTTCAATTTCAAGACTGTAAGACGAATATAAGCAAGAAAGAAAGAAATCAATGCTATGAAAACACTACTTTATAATAAATATTTACTTTGTTAGTATATTTGTGTACTGTAGCTTGTCTGCTGACATCATGTGGATGTGAATGGATGTGTAGATGAAGAAAAGGCAGTCAGTCACAGAGAGGCGCATGCACCACACCCACACCTTTCAGATCTATTGTTGTAGGCACCATTCAGATAATTACATTCTCATGACTCAATATGGAGTGAACGAAATGGCATGTGTATTCAGTGGAATTATATACAATTCTGTTGATTTTTGGTGTAGGCATGGGTGTGTGAGATATGCGTGTGGTGCATGTGCGTCTCTATGGGGGGGTTGTCTTTCTTTTGTCCACATCCACACCCACACCCCAAATTATACTAATTTTGAATTATTAAAAATAGAGTTCACATACATTATAAAATGATCAACCGATTGGTGTCACCCGAACTGGTCCCATTTTTCGTCCCACTCTGACTCGTCCCATTTTAATTATCCGAATTCGGTCCGTAAGAAAATTAACTGATTCCGAATTCGTCCCATTCTACAAAGAAATACTGTTAGCTGGTCAAAAAAGATAAACCTTTCCCGTATGAGAGAGTGACATCTTGTTGTGACGTGTGAATAATTGGTAGATCAAATGAATGTACACATAGTATTATATAGTCTAGAAATAATATAATCTTTATTCATATCTTGTCTGAATTTCTTCTTGATAAATATGTTTCGCTTTACAACTACTGAACGAAATCGACAAGTGCTAAATTATTTGGATTTCCAATACACTGTAAAGCGAATCAATAAAACTTCTGTAGAGTGGAGATGTAGAAATAGAAGTTGTTCAAGTACTGTATCTCTATCACTTGATAATTCGAGTGTTCTTCGTGAACCAGGTGCTCATAGCGAATCCTGCAAAGCAGTTCAACCAAGTAAAATTATCGTTGAACAAACCGTTGAAATTATGAAGAGAAGAGCACGAGCAGAAACAACATCTATTTCTAAAATCTACAGTGAAGAAATAGTGGCCGCAAGAATGCGAAATCCAGGTGTACCAACAGGTTTCTATTTTCCTTCTCTAACTTCAATTGATTCAACTTTATATGATCACCGTTCACAAAATTATCCAGCATTGCCAAAGGCCTTGGGTGATTTAACTTTATTAGGGGAATGGTGCTTAACAAAACATGGCGAACAATTTGTTTTAATTGACGAGTTTTGTAAGTTCTTATCATCTTTATAGCATGTTATAAAATATTCTATTTAGTTGATGATAAAGAACGAATCTTAATGTTCGGCTCATTATGGAGTATCACATTTTTATCATATTGCTCAAGGTGGCATGCTGATGGTACTTTTCTAACCCGTCCTTTGTTGTTTGCTCAAATCTACATTATCTTTGGGTACTTTGATGGTTTTCTTATACCCTGTATTTATTGTTTAACTTCGAATCAAAAACAAATTACATACGAAAAAATATTTAATCATCTTATACGTATTGGTTTATCTCGTCTGAATATTAGATATTCTCCAGAAGCCCTAACTTGCGATTTCGAGTTAGGCAGTATTAATGCTGCTTGTCAATTATTTCCAAATATTGATATTACTGCTTGCTTCTTTCATTATGCTCAAGGTCTTTGGAGAAAAATACAAGACTTAAAACTCAATAAACTTATATCTGGATCAAAGAAGAATAATCATTTTTCAGAAGAAGAAAAACAAAAAGCAAAAAACTGGTTCTCAGGTGCTGTTGGTCTAGCATTAATTCCACCATCATTCGTCGAATCTGTTTGGACAGATATAATGGACATTTACACGCCTGAATCTCCATCAGCTGAAGAATTCAACGACTACATGGTGGACAATTATGTTTGTCGAGCTTCGTCTCGATACTCAATTGATATCTGGAATGTGTATCATAATATTCGGGACAAACTTCCACGCACCAATAATGCTGCCGAAGGATATAACTATCGTATGTCGACAATATTTCCTCCTCATCCCCACATCTATGAATTTATTCGTCGTTTAAAAGACGAACATGAGTTCCAACACCACAAATCTGAAGAAGCACAGGTCAAGGTGAAAAAAAGAAAAAATTTATATGAAAAAATTGACAATGAACTTCTTAAATTAATCGAACAATTTGAAAAAGGAGAATTATCACCAATTCAATTAGCAATTAAATCAGGAAAAACAGTAAAGATCAAAAAGGGTAAAAAGTAAATTTTTCTACTTTATTATTGTGTTTTTTGGCTATATATTATATATGTTGTCAAGTCTTTCTTTTGTTGTTAAAAAATTTAATAAAGAATAATTTATTATTGTCTTCTACTTTAAATGTCCTAACTAATTGGCTAACAATATTTCTTTGTAGAATGGGACGAATTTGGAATCCGTTAATTTTCTTACGGGTCGAATTCGGATAATTAAAATGGGACGAGTTAGAGTGGGACGAAAAATGGGACCAGTCCGGGGTAGACCAACCGATTACTTAAGTTAAAATTGGTACGAAGTAATTGATAAATAATTAACTCAATCAGAAAAATTAAATATTCGTTCAAATCATCAGATATTGATTTGTCTTCGTTATTCGATTTGGCAAATAAGATTAAATGAAATGTTTAGTATATTAGTTCATGAAAATAGGATTATTTCAACGTTTCCATAATATTGATCATAGGTTTTGTATAAAATAGATAAAATTATATTGATTTTTCAAATATTATTGACTTTGATATTTAAATAAAGTCATCAAGCAAAATTTATCGATCAACAATTCACCTTGATTTTTTGATATTTAAATAACTTATTTATCAATTAGCTTTTAATATCAATATAGTTAATTAAAAGATTAAATCATTTTTTATAATTGTGTATAATTTTTGAAAAATCAATATTCAATTTAAATTGATTGAACATATTATACACAAGATAAACTACGCATCCGTATCACATGCCCAGGTCAATCAGGCTCGGCAGTAAACGGCCGTTCACTAACCAAATACGGCGAAAAACGGCAACTGTCTACGTTAGTCATATACAGCAGCCGTAAACGATGATTTACAGCATATTACGGTAATCGTACACAGTGTCCGTAAAAGTTCATCGTAAACTACTAACGTAGCAATACGGTGACTGTATACTTTGGTCGAAAAACAATGTAAGGCGTCGTATACGTCAGCCGTTTGCGGTGGCTGTTTACAATGGTCGTACTTGATGCTTTGCGGCATGCTACGGCAACTGTAAACATTGACCGTAAAGTATCGTCGGAAACGACTAGCGTGACAATACGACGACCGTATACGCTGGTATTATAGAATGTCGTAAAACACAGTGTACGTGAGCAGTATACGGTAGTCGCTTATGACGATCGTAAACGACATTTTACGATGATTTGCGGCCGATGTAAACAATTGCCATAAACAGTCACTGTGTACGACTTCTGTAACAATACGCCGATTGTATACGTTCATCACATAATACCGCGACGCACCGTCTGTGTCTATTGTTATTCGTTTAATATAGAATCATTATTTGTTATTGTATTTCATCGGAAATGATCGTTAATGTCGGCGTATTTCTATTATTAAATAGAAATAACATACTCTCATGATGAAGTATACTAGTCGACATGTAACAAAATTTGTGTTGCCACAAAGTCAAGAAAGAGTCTCGAGCTTTGCTTTCTGATATGAACAATACTCTTATAAAATTCACGGTTTTTAGAACGACCTTTTCCTTGTCAGTCTGGTGTAACCCCTCTTTGGTCTCAGTAAGACGTATGAACGTCAGAAAGTGTGGGTGTGGGTGCGGATATGCGTGTGTGAGTGTGGGATGTGAGTTTAAGTGGGTATTGAGCAATAGACATACCACACCCACACCCTTCTCATCGAAGAACGTCGGCGAGAGTCAATCAAATTGGTTCGAAATTCTTTACGTACTCATACTCATGTGGAAGACCATTCATCTACATGTAATCAATGGATTTCAACACAAACACATGCTGAGTGAAATAAACTTGAACTCTATTGATTTTCTTTCATGTTTTTCTCATAGAGATTTCTTTTTCATTCATCTCACTTTTACTCTAGTTATTTTTATTATCCTATTATTTTCGCGTATCAACTAAATCAATGGTCCACACTTTATCATCAAAACAATAAGAATATAGAAATTCACCATTTCTTTTCAAAGCAGAATTACACTACTGTTGATTATCTGAATGACAATTTTTATTTATCACTCAAGGATACTAATGGTGTGAATTTTATTTATTCTCATTGTGAACTTTCTTTTATTTTTTTCTACCTGTTTTTTATGTTTTTTTGATGTCTATCAAGAACTTAAACATTGTGGACCAATTTCAACATTAATGAGATGAAACAGATATATGCTTAGAAAAATAATACGAACAACAACACAACATATATCTAACCCTGAGACGAACAATTTACTTTAACATAATTGAAACACCCATGTCCGTTTTTGATTCATAGCACAATTGCTTTCATTATCAAGAAGAAATCATTTTCATTAATCGAGACACTACTTTTGCAAGGAATTTATATGAAATTTTAAAGTCCAATAGGTCCTATTATTGAAGTTAATTGCTACAAGTAGAAAAATTAGAAGCACCTGAGCAATTTGGACTTCCTGGAATGTATAAAAAACTAAATCTACAAAATAAGGAACTTAATTCCAAAAAAATAAATACCTATCGATGCGAAATTATTTATATTGATAATCGATACTACTTTTTAGTCATTCAATAATTATTCTCTATTAAGGTTAACAAAAAAGTTTCTTAATTTATCTCTTTTCGGTACACCACTTACCATTTGATGAAAATATATTTGTCTAACACTTCACACAAGAAGTTAGTCCTTGTACATACTACATGAATTAAAAGTGAATTAAGAAAGATGATTGATGTTGCCACAAGAAAACACCAGCACATTTCTAAATTCACTTTTTATTCGCATAGTATGTACAAGATCTTACGGTTTAATCATTAACAAAATGTTGTAATTCGTCGCATTTGATTACCTCAAAACAAGTCGGCGTCAGTACTACAGATATAGTTGATACATGATTGTTACTGTCAAGAGAATATGAATATCACGATTATATAACATATCCTTCACGAAGCTGCATCATTTTCATCAGTCAAATAAAATTTTTCTTATAATTGGACTCCGCCTTCATCTCAATATATACATATATCCATTCAACATAGATTTTATCTGTTCTTCTGAAAAAGCAGAGTTCTTTCTACAGTCTATATTTCCTGTTTGATTTTTTGGAGGAAACATAAACGCTTATAACTGTTGCAACTAACAACTAAAATTCTTTTTAATCAAATAGCTCCTGTTTTAGCTGTAATTTGCAAGATATGTACAGCCAAGCAAACATAAACAACACAATGTCACATTATCTGTTATAAAACTACTATCAGTCTTATCATTCATATTGAATTTGCTGTTGTAAAAAGAAACAAGTATTCGAGCGAAAATAGTGATTAGTATCATTTCATTTTATAATATTCTCATTATTAAATTTTGATACTTCTTTCACTATCGTTCATTTGTTGATAATATTTTTCATCTTCGTGCAAATGAACACTTAGCCGTGCAAGTAATTAATTTTAGTATAAAATGGATTAGCCGGTACACTAATAGATAACTAAAAGGAAGTTTTCATTTCAAGATGTAATACATTTGTATTTCGTTCCTGATTACTGTTTATTTTCATGTAATGTTCTTCTGATAGAATGTACAAAATAAAATAAAAAAAAAGAAAGAAGAACAAGATAAAGCTATATAAATGAAGGAAATAAAACAATGTTGGCAGCAAATACAAAAAAACGAAAAAAAATTAAAGCATCTTGAGTATAAATGACAAAAAGTAAAAGATTCTTTCTGAATATCTTTCTCTTAATATTACATCGATTTAAATATATAATATCATTTTTACCCATATAAAAAAATTTTCTTCGATATAGATTAAATAATCGATGTTTAATTAGTTATAATCATATTATTATAATTAATGCAATATCGATTATTTGGTGACAATCTAGATAAATTTTTCACATGGATACTCATATACAAAAAAAACAAAAAACGTTTTGCACAAGAGTAAATTTGAAAACAGAAGTAAAAGAAATCTAATGACATAGAGTAAACCAAGAAAAATAGCTGTATTTGGCAAATATTTTAGAGAAAAAAAAAGAATCTTTTTTTATTTCAGCTTTTACTAAATGTTTATATACTGTTCTACTTTGATTCTTTAACAAATTGATTACATATAATGATTTCCTTTTATTTTTCTTTGGTAATTTAAATACGAAAAGTAGTTACTGATTGCTCGTCGAATTTTTGCATCAGATGTATCATCATTAGGATTTGAAAACTTTGTGTATTCTATGTAAAAAACAAACAAGGCTGAACTTACGGATAATTGTATCAATAATGATTTTATCGACTTGAGAATATCCAAAATTAGAATCAGGATGTGGAAAAATAAATTTTATTACCGAACGTGCAGTAGCTGTTGATGACTTTTTATTACATATTTTAAGTTGATCTTTATTCATATTGAGTATACGCATTATGTCCACTGGTGATCTATCTTGATGAAAAATAGTATTTTCTTTATCATTACGTGATATATTTGTTGTTTCATTGAAATGTTGGATAACCTTCGAATCAATTGGACGAGCTAAATAGAACAAATGATTAAGTCGACATGACGAAAATTCTTATAGACTCAATAATATTTTTTTAAAGGAAAGAACTGTTCTGCTCTATTAATATAACAATCATCTTATAATGATGGAAAACTTCTATTTTCTTTCCAGGAAATACAGCGTAATTCTCAAAACGAAATAGAAAACTATACAACTAGTTAAGAATAAAGAGTATTACATCTTTTATGTGGTGAATGTTAGAAAAACTTATCAGATCAAACCTAAATTTTGATAATATTTATTTATATTCGTAGCAGAGATGCACGGTCCACGGGGTTCACCCCGCGGGCCCCGCGGGGCCACGTGGCGACGGGCGGGCGGGGAAGCAAATTTTAATTAAATACGGGGTTAACGGGGCGCGGGTATTTGCCAGCCCACGGGCGGGCGGGGCGGGGAGCAAATTTTTAAAATGATACGGGTCTCGGGCGGGGCGGGTATGAAATACACGGGTTCGGGCGGGTAAACATTTTTTTTC